TGGGGCGGAGGGGAACACATGCCCCCTAGATTTCTGTTCCCACAGCAGGGTGCGGGGCTGCATCCAGGCCAGACCAGCTCCAGAGGAGCCACCTCCACAGCCCAGCAGGTGGGACCTGGCATGGGAAGGAGCACTGTGCCACCATGGTGAGGCATGGCAATGGCAGTACAGAATTGCGCAGCTCCTCAGGAGCTGGTCTGGCTCAGAGACAGTCCCGTGCCCCTCTGTGGGTGCAGAAACTCAGGGGGCATGTGTGCCCCCCTTTGTGTTGCCTTGCCCACCCCCCCACATCATCTGTGCTCCCCACCTACGCGTCTCCTGTGCCCCACCATAGACTTACCTGGAGGGAGTTGTGGGAGCTGCTGTCCTCCACTGCTTGGCTGCCCACGTGCATGTGTATGCACACATGCACAGGACACCCCCGGCATCCTGCTCCCCTCAGCCCCAAGCAGCCCTTTGCAGGCTGGAACTCTGCCAGCCTGCAAGAGGAAACCCACGGCTTCCTGCATTTTTCTCCTTTAAAGGAAAAAATCAATTTTTTTCCCCCATTAAAGAAGGAAATGTGTATTTTTCTGTGTTTTTCCACAGCAGACAGAAAACCTGTATCCCTGGTCAGCAGTATTTTTTTAAAGTGTGAATTGAGTTCCAAATAGCAATTTACAGATCTTTAAAACCAGGACACATCTAAAACATGCCAAAGAAATTGCATTTGGTCTTCTGAAATGTGATCCAAGTCCTGTGAGAAGATGTTTCTCAGACCTTTGTATAGAAATGTGTGTACCTTGTTTAGACAGGCACCGAGGTAACAGCTTGTCTTCTATTATCTTCATATGAAATAAAGTGATGATTACTTACATTCCTCAAGCCAGTTTAAATAGAAATCTAGAGCTCTCTTCATATCTAAGGTGTTCATTTTGCTTCACCTGCATGAGTCAAGTCTGAAGGAAAAAACTGGCAAATTATTGACTAGTTAAGACTAAGATAGAATTCTGTTATCACTTGGGAAGAAGCTTAGGCTACAGACCTAGGACCACTTTGTCCTGGTGAAAGACTGTAAATGAAGGGTCAGTCATCTATCTGAGGCTGTAGTTTGCTTGCTCTTCTAGTAGATTTAACGTCCCCAAAGAAAGTTTTCTTAACTAAAAGATGAAATATGAACCATTCTTTCAAAGATTTTTGTAAGTGGAATAAGTACTGGGTTGAGGTCCCATATTGATACTGTGTTCTCGATGTTGGGACCGAGGGCGGTCTAAGGCTATGGCCAGTAGCCCGGACCGTCAGGTGGGGTTTTTCCACGACGGAGTAGAGTTAGGCACAGAAGTGTATTGGTTTTACAAAGAAAGCTTTACTTACACTGCCGATGGTCACAGTGCAGGAAGGAAACTTGCTTGAGTTGCAGTTGCACACAGACAAACACAAGTGAGATCTCTTCTGAACTGAACCGAGATGAGTCGTCGATGTACGACTCCACGAGCACTTCACACGGGGGTACGTCAAATTTTCCACTATGACGGGGAGTGGCTAAGAGCTGATCAGGCCCCTATGTCCTCCTCCAAGACACACGCAGAGTTTGCTAGGCTCCACAGCGTACTCAGAGTTCCCCACGAGATGGTTGTGGAGTCCTCCGACTTGGGCGGAAACTGCTGTAACCCTTTATACGGCTAGCGAGCCAACTGCTAGCTGCCATGTAGGAATAATTTAGAATTGACCAATAGTGGGACACTAATTTGCATACGTGTGGCGGGAGCTCTTTGCACCGGGGTTCTCTCTCTGCAGCTGAGAAATCCACCGTGCAAAGAAAGCTCCATGTGGCAGGAAAATTCCAATGTGCCGAGGCACTAAAAATCATTGGGTTATGACACTCGACAGGAAGGCAAACATTCCTAAGTCCCTTCATGAATCCCTCAACTAAGTTAGCATTAGTAGATGGAGCACAAAATAACTATCAGATGTACTTTCTTAATGATAAAGTCATAAAAATCATAGGATTGGAAGGGACCTCAAAAGTTTTCTAGACCAACATGCATTTAAGAATTATAAATAAAGGCACTATTTACATATGGATCAAAGTTGATGCAGCCTATTTGCTCAAATAGGAAAACTTCCCATTTAAGGACACAGAATCTGTGGACTGATTTCTTCTGCAATAGAGAAGAATCTCTCGAAAATTGTTTTGAGCCAGGTCTGTTTCCAGGTCTATTAGTGTCCTATATTCCATGCTGTTAAGTTTAGGGGTTAGGATGGTAACTGTTTTGCAAACTCAAATCTGTGTTTATTGGAAGTGTCAGGGGCACACCTAGGACACAGGCAGTTGGGACTTAACCCTATTGGGAGTCACAGCACAGGGGATCAGGAACCGGCAAGGTCAGGGAAGCAAGGATCCATACTAGAGCCAGGGTCAGGGGATCAGAAGCAGGCAGGCCAGGAAGCCAAAGTCTATAAGGGAGCAAAAGGTAGGCAGTCACCCCCTGGGTAGAACCACAGGGCAAAGGAGGTCAGGCAGAATGAGGGTAGGGATCCAGCCTGGTGTGACTAGCCAGGGGATCTGAAGCAGGCTGCTATAGCTGTATGGGCAATCACCTATCTAAGCCATGAGTCAGAAGCTGGCTGTCAGAGGACAGGTGTCTAGAAGCACAATGAATCAATGAGCTGGCAAGGTAGTCTTGAAAGCACAAAGGGTCTGGGCTGGAGTCTGGAACTGGGAACAGGTCACCAGGAACCAGGATGAAATCAGGAAGCAGGACCCAGGGCAAAGGAAGCTAGGAATCCACAAGTAGGACCAAAGACACTAGGAACAAATAAGCAGGACCTAGGAAACTGGGAGCAGAAAATCCAAAAGTGCAGAGCTAGACAAATTTTTCTGAGTAGGTTGCGGGATATCAAAAGGGAGGCTGATTCAAAGCGGTAAGCCACACCTGAGAGACAACTGGTGCCATCTTGTGAGAGTTAAGCCAATGACAACCAGGCCACTCAGATAACAAGGGCCAGGTAATGGCAATTTAACTAGCCTGCTGCCTTGCTGCCTGACAGGGAGACAAATCTTTTACTGTATGTTTTGTAAAGTATAGAAAACATTCTCTTATCCATGATGGGGCAAGCAAAATCAGTTTAGCTTTATCCTGTCTTATTCTGAACAAGAGAAAAATGGGGAAATGGGAAAGGCGACTTCACAGCATGCACTGTTTTTTTTGTTTCTGCTAAAAGCCTAAATATTCAAAACAAAGGTCTGGTGAAAATAAAAGGGACTGCCTACCTGGAGAACTTCAACCCCTAGGAGGAACCCCACTCCCTCCCCCCAACTTCAACCCCTAGTAGGCCAAAAACAAATCAAAACAAACCAATGTGCTCTGTCCCCTTCAAGCTATTGAAGAGGGGCAGAATACCATACCCTAGGAGAACAAGGGCAGAGAGGACTTTTATTATGAAAACTTTAAAATTAATTGGCCTAATGAAATAGTCTGAATTAGGGGAACACATATGCTATACCCCCTTGTTTTAGTACATTCATTGCAATTTTATCACAAGGGTCTAGACATAACTTTGTATGTACCCAAGAAATCTCTAAGCAACAGACCCATCACAGTAAATATGTAGCAAAACTTGTTCTGTCAAATCTTTCTGCATATTAATGTTGCTGTACAAGTATATGCTTGTGTCCATTTTTACAGACCTATGTCCCTATTTTGAACAAGGATTTAGGATATAAGTTAATTGATTTCTTTCATACTGCCATTTTTTTTAGAAACTGTTCAAGATTCCTTGCTTAGAAATGCTACTTACTTTTAGTGACTCTCCCCAGGATGGCTTACAGCAAGGCTTTTCTGGATCCAGCGTAACTGGGTCTATTTTCTTTTGGAACAATAACAGAACACAATCCATGATCCTCATGATTAGATGAGGGGGTTTTGCAAGCTTCCTAACTGTGGCAATATCCACTGGTTTGATGGTCTGCATTGTGGAAAATAAAGTAGTATTACTGCCCAAGCACTATATAATATTTCTTTTTCATTCAGCATTTCATTATTACTGTTATTCTTTTTATGCTCTTTTCATTGAGGGAAATTTGATCTATAAATGCTTGGTAGATAAATTATTGGGATTATTTTACCAAACATTGCCATTCCCTACCGCTGAAATATATTTGAATCAATATGCATTTCAGAAAGATGTTCTCAATGCTATGAAACAGATCTGAAAATCAAAATTAAAAACAAATAATACTGACATTATGGAATTAAGCTTTTAAAAGATTGCAGAAAGATGTATAGCTTACACTTTTAAGAGTTTATATTTCAGGATAATGCTTTTGGCAATACAATACACAAGGCTAGAAAATGGGCTTTACGAGTATTTGGTAAATGTGGCCAACTATTGTGAAATCAAATACATTTTTTCTTGCCTGGCAAAGTTATTAAAGTCCTGAGCTGCTACTCTTTGACTTTTTATTAGTATTACTTTTAGGGTACAGCTTAAATAAATAATCATTCAAATAATTAGGGTACTGCTAAACAAAAGGTCATTTCAAACTAGCAAGTTAATTTATTCCTGAAAATATATATGCATTCTGCTATTTGCTTAGCAAGAGGTAACCACAGCCACAAATGGAACTGTCAAGGTGCATGTAGATGCAGGGTGCATCTACACGAGACACTGGTTACTGATTACTGAGAAGTAGTGCCTGCAAATGTTTTTTAAGTGATGCTACAGTACACTAGCCTAATAATACTGTGCAGTAGTGTATTAGTACTGTCCATGCCATGACATGCTACTGTACAGTATTATTTGGCTACTGCACAGTTGGCATCTTGTATAGATGTGTCCGGGGGCATGTAATTTACAAGCGCATCTTGTGTGATGATTTTGCAAGTTTGGTTCATTCTATTATCAGAATGGATTTCAGTTTGGAGAGGATGATTAATTTTTTTCTGAATTGCAATTGTCTGAATCCTTTTCTTGTTATATACTGGACGTGTCTACACATGAGCCCCACTGCATGGTTGATATTGCACAGTCATTTAGTACTTGCCTTAGCGTTTCTAACCCCACTGCACAGTAGCAGTGGTGTCATGGTTAGTGCCTGTTGATACTACATTACCATAGCTACAGCAACATAGCCCACTTACTAATAATTTAAGCAGCAGATTGCTCCTATGTAAGTTACTACTGCTTTATTTTTCTACATCACCTCTTTCTCCCATGGTTCTTTTGTAAGTTGTCCCTCTCAAAGAGGAATTCAGCATGCATTTGGAAGTAAAATGTGAGCTCCGCAACTATTAACAAAAGGTTTGAGTATGAAATTAACAGAATGAAAACTCTCAAAATGGCATGAAGCTTTGTTCTGGTAGAATTAATCATTCTTTCAACATGTGAGTCAATGCCCAGTAAATTCATGAAAATATAAAAAAATTACTCACATTCAGTGCAGCTTCTGCATCTTCTAGAGCTGGTCTAGCTGCCTCCAATTTGGTCTCAGCTTTTACTTTTTCTGAATCAATTTCATCTACAATCTTTTGTGCTTTGTCTTTCACACCCTGGACTTCATTTTTTACTTTAGCTGCAGCTTCAGCACTTACTGTAACTTCTGCCAGCACCTAGCATTAAGATAAAAAATAAGAATATGAAAAAATGGAATGAATTAATACATTTGCAAATACAATGAAATCTGAATCTAAAATATTGTTTTTATTTAGCATTTCTTATACTATATATATATATATATGTGTGTGTGTGTGTGTGTGTGTGTGTGTGTGTGTATTTGTAATTATGCAAGAGATATAAATATACCCAGAACCACAGGACTTGATTTTGTTATTTGGGCAGCTATCCAAGAGTTCAAGAGCCTAATCCCAAATGTAGAAATTGTGCTTGGACGTCACTGTGATTTCTACAATTTATACGTATGTTTCATAAACCAATAAAAGTTATTGACTCAAAGGTAGCGGCATGGTTAGATGTTTGGCAAGAATGGAATGCACAAAATAAACCAGAGACTTAAGAAAGATGCATGGAGAGATAAAGCAGAGTTAATTTGCTACACAGAAGACTGCTATTGCAGAACAGTAAGGTCCCATGTTCTTTATGGTCCAAACTGTAGATTCTCTCTTCAGATGATTAGGAGAAATATTTTCCTTTTTTAAACTTATCTGAAGCTGTCAGAGAGCAGGTTAATTATAATGCCCCCCTGCCCCTCCCACTGTTCTGTCACTTGGTAAAGTGAATGTATTTGCCACAACACAAATAAAGCCAGGTGGAACAAGAGGTCTCTGCTGACATAAGTATACCTTTGTTTATGAGAGATTTTGCCTTGGTTCTTCAAGTTCAGGATGTTAAAAAGCCTGCATTTTTCTTGAATTCTTATTGTAGGTTATCAAGTCTGCTTGATATTGGTATTGGTATCAATGGGACCCCCTGAGTTGATGACTGGAATCTCCAATTTAAAGTTAGCTTGCTTACACAGTTTGGATTCTACTCAATTTTATATTTTCTTATTTGTTCATTTCTCTTTTTCAAAATTGCAACAAAGAGCACCAAAAACTACAAAGATATTGGGTTTACCCTAAGAACCTTGTCTGCCTATAACCTTAGACCATCATGGCTACAACCTACACCCCTGCAAAAGATCACCAAACTTAGAAGGTCAAAGGTGACATAAATATGAAAACTGCATGTTCCTTGGTTCTGCTTCCAAATTAATACCTATATCCTTCACACAAGCAATGTTGTCTACTGAAGTGGGGAAAAGGGGTCAATGCTGAAGGAAAAGCAAAAACATGTTCCTCCTTTTCCTCCTTCCTTCAATATCATAATTCAAGAAAGTATCTTCCATTCTGATCAGAGGTGTGAAGGTATCTTTCAGAGGCTCAGCTAAACCACTTAACTAACCCACTTACCTGTAGCAACATTTTCATTAAAACAGGGTCAGGTTATTTGTATTCCCTCTCATGAAGACTGTGTTTAATTGTCCTTAGGACTGTTACACATTAATTTTAGTCAGCTCAGGGAGCTATTAACCCTTGGACTGTCCACACAATAAGATGTGTAAACTAGTTTTAAGCATCCTTTAGGCATCTTAGGGCTCAAACAGAAGTGCAGCTCCCCACTATAACTCAGAAGGCTTTACAGGAAGTGTTCTGAATTACCATGATCACCTGGACCAAACAGAAGTTCACTGTTGGTTCCAGGGAGGAGGAGAATCTACCTGCTAGTTGTGAACCTGCAGCCAGTTTCACTCAGAAACTGCCCCTCCTCTCTCCCAGCTTGTCCCAGTTTCAAAATGAGGGGGGGGAGGGAGGAGAGGGACCCCAGCCAGTGTTTTTAGGGGTTCCCAGTTTTAGGGGTTCCCTAGCCAGTGTTGGGGGGGGCGTATTGAAGCCCTTCCACCTCGGGGGTGTGGGCTTCAATGTACCCACCTCACCTTCCAGCAAGGGCTGAAAAAGTCCCAAACTGAACTCCCTCCACTCCCTTTCTCCTCTCCCATTCTGAAAACAGCTCAAAGCTGGGAGGCAGCACAGACAGAAGTTACAGAAGACCATATGTAGCAGAAGGCTAAAGGGGCACAGCCCCCGCAAATACAGGGCAGCGGTAGGGTCACAATGCAGCCTGGCCATGGGCTTCCCACACCTGCAGCAGGAGTAGGGTAGGGCACACAGGCAGCAGTGAGTGAGGGATTGGGGCTGGGGCAGCCTAGGGCAGCTCGTCTGGGGGGGCACAGCTCCTGCTGCTATGCACACCCTGGGAGGCAAGGGGGGCATGTGATCCTCAGATCTGCATGGGGCAGGGCAGGCTGCTGCTGCAGGCTGGGGCCAGGGTGGTGCTGGGTTCTTCCTGGAGAGGGGTGGGGCTTTGCCACGCTGTGTTTGGGGCAGGCAGCAGTGGCACTGGGAGGGAGCTATGGGTGGGAGGGCCTGCAGCCACCCCAAAATTTGCTGTGGTCACCCCACCCCATCCCAGTGCCATTGCCACTTGTCCTGAACACAGTGCAGCACAGCCCCCACCAGGAAGAGCCTGGAGCAGCCCCGGCCCCAGCCCACAGCGACAGCCTGCCCTGCCCCATGCAGATCCAGGGGCACATGCCCCCCCATGCCCTCCTGTGGCACATACAGTGGCAGGAGCCACCCTCCTCCCCAAGCCCCAGATGAGCTGCGGCTTATTCCCATGCCCCGCCCTGGCTGTGCAGGGCTTGCCCCCAGTTTAAGTGATCAGAAAGTGGTTTAAACCTACAACAGAACAGACGTACAGTGCACAAAAACCAGTTTGAAAATGGCTGAAACCAGTTGGAGATAAACCTGGGTTGAATGTAGTATCAGACTTAACTGATTTGGGTCAAACTGATTTATTCAATGTCTGTCCCAGACCCCTTCCTGGTTTAAGTTAAATCGGAGTCCTCCAGCATCCCAGAGGCTTTGTAGCCCTGGGAGGAGCTCTATGTTCCAGAGGGCTGGGATGGCCCCTCCCCTCTGCTCCCTGACTGGAGCTCCAGCAGAGACTGCAGGTACAGTGGCATCTGCTTGGCCTCCTCCTGGCTTGCCATCCTTCCACCACTTCCAGCTCAAGCCGGGATTCCCCGCTTCCCTCTGCCTTACACAGACACCTCTCAGCATTAGCCAGCATACCACATGCTGGCTATGGTCTGGGCTGTGGGAAACAGGACAAAGGCAGATAGGACAGTGTCAGCTTAGGGCTTTTTGGAGTTAATTAATAGATATCTAGTAATGTTCCTCCAGTCCTTCCTCGGAAAAAAAATTTAAGAAGAGCTTAAACTAATGAAAGAGCCTTTTGTTTTGTTTGATGGGCTGATAAATGCTAACAAGTCCCTGTGCAACTTCCTGCTGTGTAACTAAATGCTCTTATCAACAGCAAGGTGGGGAGGGGGGAACCCCTCCCTAATCAGAGCATCCTGTCGGGACATAGCCACACTCAACCCTCAGCTCAGCACTATGGACAGGAAGGGAGGGCTGCTCTAGCACCACCACCCCCGCCCCCGCCCCCCTTGGCTTCTAGCCTGAGCCACTGCAGGCATGTTCCTGCATTTCTTCAGTCCAGAGGGGATGTCTGAACAGTTACAAACTGGTTCAGCCTAGCCAGGTTAGACTTACCTGCAAAGAGTGAATCAATTCAGGCTCATGCTTTTTGAATGTCTGTTCCTAGCCTGACAGATACTGTGGAAGATGTGCTGAAGAATCAGAATCATGTGCTGAGACCACACTCCCTTTTTGAACAATGGCATACACTATTTTCTTGTACTCATTACATGGAGAGGTTCCTGACATGGGGAAGATTGTAAACCTTTTACACTATTGTAGTCCTCTAAGCTATTTTTTGCTACTTTTGTAATGGATATAGATCACAAGTGGGTTTAGCACTCCAGTACTCACTTTATCTGCTTTTATAGAAGCTGCAGCCAGTTCCTTCTCTTTAACTGCCAACTCCTGAGAGAGTTTAGCTACAGATTCACTGGCTTCCATCAGCTTAGAGAGACCTATCAAATATAATATAATAGCAGTTCAGAAAGGTGAAGATTGATATTTTCTGTTAATGTTGTCATTTATTATAGCTATGGATCCCAAGGATCTAATTTTTCCCTGCAATTTCTGTACTCATTAACAACTGAACAAAATGAGACAAAAGACATATAAAAATACCATTCTGATCCGATTGTGCTTTCCATTTATTTTTCACAAGTGCAAATGGTTGTTTTGAAGCATAGTAGTGTTTTCTCTGGGGGTCTTTTGCTGCTGTCGCTTTGGACGTGCAGGCTGCTGGGGTCTTTGTGTTCCGGAAGGTGGACGCTAGCAAGCAGCCTTCCAGATTCCGTGGGTGATACAGAAAAAAGGACTTGACTTTATGTTTGGTAACAAAACTCAGGGACATTTACTGTCACTTGGACAGTACACCAACTGGTCTGTTTAACAATCAGCCCAATTTAGTGAATCTTGCTTGTGACAGGTAGTGACGCACTACAATCACGCTCCCCAAGGTCACTATGAAAAACAAATCTAGTAGCCCATGTATTTATACTCAAAATGCCCTAATCTCATGCGAAAGTTTGTGTGTCTTCATATTGAGATGTTTATTTCTACTTGTCTCTTTCACCAAGTCTGCACACCTGCATCTTCAGTTCTTTTTATCTCTGCCTCATTAATGTGTTCTTATTTTTACATTACTTCTTGAGCTATTCAGTTACTCTTTATGCTCCTCCCTTCTTTGACTCAGCTTCTTCACTCATTAGTGTGTTTTTATTTTTACATTTTTTGTTAGGACATTCAGCAGTCATGTGGCCTGTTCTTCCTGAGCTCCTTTTCAGATCTTTAGCTTAACTATAGCCTAGCATAACTGGAACTCCTACATAAATGATGACACGAGGAACAAGACAACTAGGCTTGATTTTCATGGCTGGGACATTACTAACAATGAAAAACTATCCAGGATTATATTAATTTAATGGATTAAAATAGGATATGGAGAGGCAGATAAGAAAATAATGCATCTCAAAGAACTCCAGTTAATGTAACAGTAACTCTTCCCTTTAAATGCTTGTCTATATGTATATTTTACTCTACTGATTTCCAAACAGAAATCTGACTTGAGATCACAAATTCTCAAAGACTTGAGTGTGGCACCTCACAGCACCCTTAAAAGGATCTCACAGCATGGCAGGGTACCACGGCACCCTGGTTGAGATTCACTATTCTAATACAGTAAAACCGAAATAATTCATATCCAGGTGAATCACAATACGCTTAATTTACAATTGGTTGCTGAAATAAGAACAAGCCATGTATATTTGGTGAAGCTTTTACTTCAAAACAGAACCCTTCGAAATAAACGCCATAGCAAACAGCTGGACCACCTCACCATTCCCACACAGCTATTTGCTGCAGCATCATAAAAAATATTCCCAAAAATTTCATTTCAGTTTCATATTTCCAAAATGGCCTTAATAATACATTACCTTACAGGGTAATTCTGAAAATAAATCATATAGTATTTGTGAAGATATTTGTGGTGACTGTCATAATGCAGGAGTAAATTAATAAACCTATATTCAGAGAGGAGTTTCAACAGCATGCAGTATATAAAACATTGGGCCACACAATGATAAACAAAGATAAATATTGAATATCTGCCAATTAAGTGAACATCATCCTTAATGTACAAGAAATGAAGTAGATGTATCATAGAAAAAAACTGCATGTAGTCATGCAGTTAAAGACTATATCATAATCAGAAGATCATAAGAAAGTAGAGCTGGAAGTGAACTTATGGGTTAGGGACAGAATTTACACATAAACCCATTTAAGTGATCAGAAACTGGTTTAAACCTGTAATAGAACAGAAGTTCAGTGAACATAAACCAGTTTCAAAATGGTTGAAACTATTTTCAGATAAACCGGGTTGAATATAGTATCTGACTTAACTGATTTGGCTCAAACCAGTTTATGAAACTTCTGTTCTAGTCCCCTTCCTGGTTCAAGTTAAATCAGAGTCCTCCAGCATCCCAGCATTTTGCAGCCCCAGGCTCGGCTGTGCTGTCTGCTCCAGAGACCAGGGCTGGCCCCACCCCTCTGCTCACTAGCTGGAGCAGTGAGAGCTGGCTGACAAGGGGGGAGCTGGTGGCAAGCCCGGCTGGAGATGCAGCCCAGTCTGAAAGTGTGAGGGACTGCACCCTCCAAGAAAACCCCAACTGGGGTCTGGGGCCAAGGAGGGGGGTTAAACACCCCTTCCCCTGCTCAAACTTGCTGCTAGCTACAACTGTGGACTACAAATCCCAGAAGCACCTGGAAGCAGGAAGAAGAAATCATGAGCAATGCTGCAGAGTGCTGCTCTTATACATCTGGACTGCAAATCCCAGAGACCTCAGGGGCATCAGGAAGAAGTGAACACACAACCAGAGAGCCATGCTCTAGTGCCCCCAGGCTTCTGGCCTGAGACACTGCAGGCATGTGGCTGCATTTCCTGAATCAAAGGCAAATGTCTGTTCAACTCTGTTTCAATTTAATTTGTGCAGTTTAGACTAACCTGCAAAGAGTGAATCGATTCAGCCTTGGGCTTTTTGATTGTCTGTAGCTAGCCATGAGGTCTAGTCTAGCCCTGTGCTTAAGGTAGAATTATCCCTGACTAAGCCAGCCCAGCCAAGTGTCTGTCCAACCTACCCTTGACAATTTCCAGGGATAGAGATTCCAAAATTACTCTAGGTAGCCTGTTCCAATGCTTGAGCACCCTCAGAAAGTTCCATCTCCAACCTAAAATTTCCTCTGCAGCAGCTTGAAACCATTGCTTCTACTCCTGTCCCCTACAGCCACTGAGAAAAGTCCATCTCCACCCTCTCTATAATCACCCTTCAGCTATTTGAACATTTTTTTCAAATCGTGTCTTCTTTTCTCCTGACCCTAGTTCTTTCAACTTTTCTTCATAAGCCTTGCCTCCTAGGCCCCTAATCATTTTTATCACTCTTTGCTAAACTCTTTGCAATCTGTGGGATTTAGGAATGGGCACAGTACTCCAGGTGAGGCCAAATAGAGCAGAAAAATCACTTCCATTGATTTGCAAGTGACACTCCTGTTAATACAACCCATTTTACTGTTGGCCTTTTTTGTAATAAGAGCACACTGTTGGCTAATATTCAGCTCATGGTCTATGGTAACCCTCAGGACCTTCTCTGCTGTACTACAGCTTAGCCAATCATTCCCCAATCTGTATTTGTGCATGCAATTATTCTGTCCCAAATGCAGGGCTCTGCACTTGTCCTCACTGAATCTCAGCTTACTGATTTTGAATAATTTTTCCAGTCTATCCAGGTTATTCTGGATCCTAGCCCTCCCCTCTAGAATGTCTGCAACTCCACCCAAGTTGGTGTCATCTGCAAATTTATTAAGAATCTACTCAATTCCATCATCCATTAGTAAAGATTTTAAACAATACTGGATGAAGGACAGAATCCTGGGAAACCCCACTTAATACCTCCTTCCAACTAGACACTGAGCCACTGAGGACTACTCATTGAGCAAGATGATCCAACCATTTTACACTACTTTCATCTAGTCTTATATTGTTAGCGTGTTAATGAGAATGTCAGGGATGAGTGTTATACCTTGACTTTAGCAAGGCTTTTATCGCATCCACTGCTCTCCCTCATACACAGAGTCTGTCACCTTATCACAAAAGAAAATCAGGTCGGTCAGGTATGACTCACTCCTAGTGAATCCATGTTGGCTACTCCTGATTACCTTGTACTCCTTAAGGTGCTTCACAATAGATTATTTGAGGAGCTTTCCAGGTATTGAGGTCAGATCATGCATATACATGCATATAAACAAGGAGATAGATTCAAGTAGCAAAACCAGTCTCAAATTTGGCCATCCCCAGCTTTTAAGCAGCTCATTTTCATCTTGAAAATTCAATTAATGAAGACTTTAATTTTTTTTTAATTGAAAAGAACAAATTTCATTATTGTATTGACAATCCCATGTTCCATCAGCAATATTGAAACCTCTAGATCATGGGTATCAAGCTCATCATACCCCACAGGCTGCATGCAGAGCACAGGGCTGGCCAGCAGCTGGACTTGGCACACAGGCAGGTGTTGCATGACATGTGTAGCACATGCACTGGCTCCAGGCCTGCACACAGTGTATGCCACACTGCCTCCACATGCAGCATGCAGGGGTGCGGATGGCACATGCTGCATGTGGGGCCAGTCCAGGGCATGCTACATACAATGTGCAGGTTCAGTCCAAGATTTACATGCAGTACCACAGGCTGGATGATAGGGCTTCATAGGCTGGATTCAGCCCATAAGCCATATCTTTAACATCCCTGCTCTAGATCATCCTCACTTGAGGCAAATACTTAACATGGAAAATGTCATTCTGAATGGTAAAGTTCTTACAAAGTTACAAGCAAATGAAAACACAGTCTTATAATGAGAAATATGGGTCGGTCTTAATAATAAACAGCATTACCTGTTTTAATTATAATAATGAACTTAAGGAAGTTCTTTTATAAACTATTACAGGTATCAGCAGCAGAGGCAGCAAAAGCCTATCACTTTCCTCATACTCTCACTTCCAGCCATATTAAAAATAGTAGGTGAAGTAGTAGGCAAAGCAATATCTTTGCCCTGAAGTCCCACTACTAATGCAGGAACTTCATGAAAAAGTCGGGTAACTTTATGCTGCCTTTTTGAAATCTAAGCCAGTCAGAAAGGTGTTATTTCTGGCTATTTTCAACTTGTATTTTCTGTTATAAAAGGTAAATTGAAAATATTAAACATTTTATTTTCATACAGGGAATGCTCAAATAGATTATTAAACCACTTTTTAATGTTTGTCTGTGCTTTTTTTAGACCAATTAATATGGCCATATTATGAACACACATTTCTACATGTTAAACATGTAGAATTCTAGTTTGGGACTGGATTTATCTTAAATGACCAGTGAATAAGATACTGCACTATAAAAGCACATCTGAGATCACATATGAGAAGTTATCTTTAACCCCATCCATCTTACCTATTTGCATACGTTCAGCTTGTTCATTAATATTTTCTAGCTTATCAGCATAAACTTCTTTATAACCGTTTATGAAAGAGAGATAAGATTTGGGTGTAACATGTGCTCTTCGTCGATATCTGACAAACAGAATATCAATAGTTATTATTTAATATACAACAATATCGTGGCTTTCATTTTTTGCGTTAAATATAGGTTTTACAGGGTAGACCTTAATTGTAATGTAATTACTGTTAAAAAATATAGGAAAAAAAGCATTTAATGAAGTAAAAAATCCCAGTATTTCTTTAGAATAACGATGACAATTAGACTGATTTCCAGTTACCCATACAAGCTATATTAAAATGTATTCTATCCTTTTCATTCTTATACAGTGAGAAAAAAGGTAACATGGCTATACTATCTTTGCAATTAGTGTTTATGGTCTTTGTGTTTATTGGCATATTACCTTCACTTCCGTAAACTGGGAAAGCTAATTATAACATCATCTATTACAATGACAAAATTATTGGTGACAATATTTTGTAGTTATTTAACTATTCCACTTGCATAAAATGTTACCTCTGAAAATAATTATCACAGCTCTCAGAAACTATATCATGGAAGAGGCCCATAGTTTCTACTACACGTGCTTTAACAGAAGTGGAACAGACCATGTTAAATTCTGAAAGAAAATAACTAGCTACAGCAACAAGAGCTTCCTTAGGCCACCGGTTAAACCAGTCCATAGTGCAGCCTGATATCAGACCAGGAAATTTCAAAGAACGGGCACGAAACTTCTCGCCCACCTAAAAGGAGTGAAAATTTTAAAACAATGTTTAATATAGAATAGCTGATATCAAATACAAGTCTTTAAAAAATGTTGTGCATATAAAAGAATCATCTTAGTTTGTTTTTTGTTAATGTTGTTGTTACCCTTATAACTTTATGCATAGGCTAGGTCCAGACATCCAAAAAACCTGAGGCAGAATCAATCCAATCTATGCAGGTTTCTCTAAGGTGCATAGATTGAATCATGAGTGAAAAGACATTCTTCAGTTAGGGTGGGCATGCTGATGTCTGCACTGGCCAAGGCCAGAAGGTGGGGGTACTCCTGCACACCTCCCAGCCTGCCACAGATTGCTAAGGGCAGCCGAGTACAGCTGAGCTGGGGACACCCCGATCAGCTATCAAACACACAGCCCCAAGCCCTACTGTCACTGCAGATCCTTCCCTATGCCCAGCCCTAGTTTTCCAGGAGAGTCCCAGAGCATGTCATCATGGCAAGTCCCCCACTGCCACTGTCACCCAGGCTACGATGGGAGCTGGTGGAGCTCAGTGGAAGTGACAGCTGTCAAGACGCACTGGGCAGCCCAGGAGGCTTGTGCTACAGTGTTTACCTTACTGCTGCATCCTATTTTATTTAACTACCTTGAAATCGTCAATATTATCAACAAAATAAGAAGTAACAACTTCAAATGAGCAGGACCTTAATTTCATTTAAAAGGTAAAGTTTTTCATCTGTTCTGGCATGCTTAGAGGGTTCCTGTTTATTTGCCAAGCAGCTGTGACCTTCACAAAAATCTAAAACAATTAAAGAAGCTTCATTTGCTGTTTTACAGCAAATTTTGCTACTGTTGAAGAAGAAAAACAAGAAAACCCTGAATAGTCTTTCCATATAAAAGATGATTCCAATTTCAACTGTTCTCTCTTTAAATTTTGGCAATTATTATTTGCAATAGCTCCACCAATTTTAGTATAGATTTTAGTCATATTTTTATTCATCTTTAAAGCTTGGGTTTCTGTCTGTAACAATTCCCAAAATTATAAAAGTTGTATGATTACAATATATATATGAGAGAATCTATTTATGGAAACAAATAAGGTAGTTATAAAAATAAAACTCACAGGAGAAAAGCAGAGAACTACATGTAAATTCTTCTTTGCCCGCGATATAAAATACTCATAAAGATTATCATATGTAGGAGGATTTCGAGGCAGCTCTTTTTTCATCACAGATATTAATCCTTGAGTGATTTCATCTAGTTCATCCCGAGCAAATAAATTAGAAATCTTTAAACAAAATCAAAATCGACAGGATAAGAAATCGCATTAAATTATAATGATTACAGTTCATAATTATAATATATCACTGTCTTTCTCTACCTGGTTTATCTAATGTTATGCATAAAAAATTGGTTGGTTTAGAAGCTTCTGGGCATGCACAGACACAGAAGCGATCCTGTTTGATGCTGGGGAGATGCCTATATCCTTAGAGGGACTTGATTCATTAGGTGCACTTGGAGTAGAACTTGCTAATTTTGAGTTGAATTCAATACTGTCAAAGACTGGTGCTGGTGGCTGTACCCACAATATATCTGTGATTAGAGCAATCATCTAGGAAATAGGAGACCTGGGTTTAGCCCTCTTCAGTCTAAAGTGATTCAAATCTAACTCCCATTTTTAATAAGAATGTTCTAACCAGTTGGTACAGAATAAGCTAATTAAAGCCATTGCCCACTCCTCCTGTTGATATTGGGCCATTGAGTGCAAAGAGTTACGGATCACAGGATCAGAAGCACAGTATACTAGACAAAGTATGCCATGGTCATTAATGACAGCACTCTGAGTATTGCAGTTTGTGTTAACACTGTAATTTCTATTTTTTAAGTAATGACTGCGTAATATACAATGCACAGCATGTAAAAGGAGCATATAAGAGAAGACCATCCCCCCATGGGTGAATGCTTACAGCCCACTGCTGGAAGGAGGAGGCATGGTTTCTTGTCTGTGCTCCAAAGACAAGTACTATACTTTTAAGACTCAAATACACCTTTGCAAAAGCACTGATCTAGATTCAGTTTTGCTCCACCAGACAGTCCCAAGATTTGCAGTATTTGGGATACAGATTCTTGTCTGCTCCATAAACTATTACCAGAATAAATGACAATCAATTAAGAAGGAACCAAGAGTTCTAGTTTTTTGTAAATCAATTAAGAACAAATACTGCAGCTTCTTATTGCTAAAATACAGCTTGTTAGTTTGAGGCTCTAACCTCTCCTGAGGATAGCAAATTGTTAAGGTATTCCAGAAAAGCCTCATCTTTTATTTCATTATCAGTGAAAATGAAGGTAATGCCTTTTCCTTCTGCTCCAGCTACTTTATACAGCAGTTTTAAATCATCTGTAAGATTGCTCACATTATATGATCTATGAAGAATAACAGAAATCACAAATTAGCTGAAAATACAATATAGAATTACAGCACTTTCAGATTATAAGATCCACCCACTTTGGCCAGGATACATTCCATCTTTCAGTTAAATCAATGGGAAGACCCTGATTTAGGAAAGTACTTAAGCATCAGCTTAAAAGTATTTTTCCAAAAAGGGATATTTTGCCAAATCAAGACCCTAGTGTAAAATTACCTGCAACCAATACTGTATAAGTTGATCACATCTTTTTATTTTTAATTTACTCCTTTTAAGGTGGTGGCTAAATACAGATTTTTTTATTTTATTTTTTTAAAAAAAACATTAGTTTCTAGGTGTAAAAAAGGAAAGCAAGAAAAAAAAAATCAATTTCTTACCTAGTTAAAGTGATCTGAAATATCCTATATCCTGCTATAAAAGAGGCCAACCTTGAAAGACTCTGTTTTCCAGAACCACCAACTCCCACAAGTAAAGCATTTCCACATGCTGTCCGAATTATTCGTGAAATCTATTTTAAAAAATGCAATTAATCAGTGCTGTTGTATTTGTTTAGTTATGGAAGAGTAACAGAATTAAATATTATTTATATTTAGGGATGTACCAAAATCACAATGTCACAATTTTCATGGAAAAACAAAATCAGGGATTTTCTGCAAAAATCAGAGAAATGTGTGAAAAAGGAGCCCCGCAAAAAAAGTGGAGAAAAGCAGGGCTCTGTATAAAAATAAAAGGTTTTTCTTTTTTTCCCCCGATTAAGCGAGAGTGGCCCTCATGCAGTCTCTCAGCCCTGCAACCCGAGCAGACAGGGACTGGCCTAGCCTTGGTTTTTTTCGCTGCAACTGCAGACACAGCCACAGCCACAGACACCCAGCCCATCTGGGCCCATCTCACGGTAAGTGGGTACTGTGGAAGGTGGGGAATGGGATTATGGAAAGCGGGGCTGGACCAGGAAAGCAGAGCTGGGGTGGGGTGAGGCACGGTGGTATGGCTGGGTTGTGGTGGGGGGAGTGGGGCTGGGCCATGAGGAGCCGAGCCAGAGCACAGCTGAGCCGAAAGGAGAAGAGCTAGGCCAAGGCAGGCGGGGGGTGGGGGCTCATGGCCTGGCCAGGGCAGTGGCGTGGCAGTGACCCATCCACATGCCTATGCAGGGCCAGAAGGAGCAGGGTTTGGCCAGGAGAACAGAGCCAGGTTGGGGCAGGGGGGCAGTGTGACCTGGCTGGAGAGCAGCAGCACGTGGCAGCCCATCCCTATACCTGCAGGGAGACAGGGGAGACTTTCCCCCTCCCCACCCCCATGTAGGGCTGGGTAGGGAGTGAAGACAGGCTGGGCCAGGGGGCAGTGGCAGCCCATGTGTCTACTGGCTGCTCCAACCAATCAGAGGCATGGGGGGGG